GATGTTGTGGCTCCATGATTTACAGAGTTGGCAGTGGCACTTTGCTTTAAATCAAGTATTTGCTGTACATGTGAGTATGTGTTTGTCTTTCAGCTCCAGTGTCTGAGCCAGCTGTGTCTCAGATGTGTTTGTCACCAGAACACATGAAGGTCAGCTGCTCCTCTGAGGGAGATGGAGTAGAGTTCATTTTGACTTTGGACAGTCAGTTACTGATAGATACAAGAGACCACAGTCTGTCCCCAAGTAACTGGACAACAAACACACAGTGGCTGACTGGGAGTGCAGCTAAACAAGACACATCCAGTGTTTCAAACGTTACCCTCAGCTTACATGGTCAGCTGACAGGAAACCTGATGTGTAATGTTCGAAACAATGTCAGCAGAGATAAAACAGCTATTCATCTGAAAAGCTGCAAAGGTACAGTGTTTAAAGAACGGTTATTTTAATTTTGTAATTTTAACTCTTCAATGCCATTTCATAGTTATATACCAAGAAAAAAACTTTTTTTCACTCTGATACTTAACATCTTTGAAACCGTCTGGAACCTCAAACCGGCTTCTGTCTTGTTGTCATATTGTTTTTAATAATAAATTCACATCCACAGCTACTGTAGATGCTCCTGTGTGTTGAACATCATCAGACAAAGGAATGGACAATAACATGTTCTTGAAATATAATAACTTGGTTTTAAATTTGTTTGTGTTTCCTAGATTTTCCTTCTTCCTTCCCTGTTGTGACGGTGGCTTTGAGAGCTGGTGTCATCATTCTATTTCTTATCGCTCTGTGTCTTGGTGTCTGCTATTTACAGAACAAAACAAGACCCATGACTGGTAATGAAGGTAAGAGAATATAAGGTCTATGATAGCTAGTGCTGTACAGAGGCCAGAAAAAGTATGTAAAACCTTTGCAATGACCTGGTTTTCTGCACTGATTGATCATAAAATGTGACCTGATCTTCATCTCAGTCTTAAATGTAGCCAGTATCCCTCAGCTAATATCACACAAACAATGATATCCTTTTTCCTGAAGGAAGGGGAACAAAAAGGGGATCTACTGGATGAGACCCTTAACTGATTATTTTCAGACCCATGCTATAACATGTGGTTGTTACAGATATCACTGGTGCTTGGCAACTCATGACCAATTATTGTTGATGTTGCTTTCACTACTACTTTCACCACTGTTGACGTCTATCTTTAAGGAGTTTGTCATGCAGCCTTGCTGGAATAATAAGACAGAACTAAAATCAGTAAATAGGACATGTGCATAAGAGGCTTTGGCCTTGAGGTGCTGTAGGATGGAGTGAATGCCAGGGGGATACAGCGTCCTCTACAGACCTATTTTCTATGTAAGCAAACTGAGATGGGTCAAGTGTCACACTGGATAGATATTTAATCTAGATCCTCTCTGTTATAAAATGTTTTAAGGTAAAGCCGCCTGCTGTGGAAGCATACATTACGAACTTGAGTTGTAATATCGTTTGAGGAAATGATTGTATTACATAAAGATGTGCTGTGACAACAGTTTTTAACTTTTCCAGGTATTTCCAAAGATGCCCTTCTCTGCTCAACTGTTGCATACAGGAACCAGCATAATCGTCATATGAAACATTAATCTTGCAAAGACCTTTGCCTTCATTCTGTCTTTAATCAAAATCAATAAATGGTAGCCCTCTTAAAAATTTGCCTTTGCTGTGACGAATTTACTCCATTTAAACAGACCTGCCTCTTTCAATTAAGTGTGGTTTTCTTTTGATTTATCGGCTACAATTTATAATTGTGGGAATTGTTATGACTTCTTGCATTTGCTTTCCAAATGGGACAGTGCTATTTTTTCAGTGACTTGTTTTATAATTTTGTCTGACAATGTATATGCTTTAAAAGAAAATAAAATAAAAAAAACATGTATTGAAATACTTGTGATCAACACAATCGACAGATTTCCTTTTCACTCCAATATTAAGTTGTTTCCTGTGTGCTTCACCATACATACACTTGTTCTATGTGAATGTGCAGATACATCTTTAAAGTAAAATGGAATATCAGTGAGATCAAGTCAGACAATGGTTCTGGTCAGTACTTTATCATCTCTTGGAATAGCATATTAAACCACTGTGAAATTGTGTGACACAATATTAAATTTAAAAAAAGAGAGAAGAGAACAATTCTCTTAATAATTCTACTCTACAGCAACAGTGCAGGGAATATTTTGCAGCTGAGACGAAAAGTATGAGCTGCATGTAGTGATCATCATTTGACCACAAGGTGGAGACAAATATTCCCACATGTAACTAGAAAATGTAACTACTCTATACAAGTACAATTTTGAGGTACTTGTAATTTACTTGTGTAATTAAATGTCATTTTGTATGTAGCTGGATCAACATAGGCTTACTGAGAATCTATATAAACCCACTTCCATAATGAGCTGGATCTACATGCATTCTCTTTTGGTCTCTGTGCATGGCGCCGATTAACTCAAAACTCTCTCTCAGTCACCATAAAATATAGCTGTCACTACTGCTACTGCTGGTATTACCATTATCAGCCCTATCTCTGTGACTAACTGTGTGTCCATACAGAAAGCGGAGTGCATTTTAGGTTAGACGAGATAGTAGACCAAGTCACTGGGAAGATGTGAGTAGACACAAATTCACCCATGGCAGCAGGAAGGAACTCATGCAAAGTCGTGTCTGTGCAAGTTGAAAATGTTTCGACTTGAACAAAAATGCTTCATTAATGTACACAGATGAGGAAAAAGGAGAAAGACTGGTGGGAAATAAGAGAAAGTTTCTGGTAAATTCTGAGTTCAGTCAGAGGTCAGAGTTGAACACAAACACACAAACACATTGCCACAGAGCATGCTAGCTTGGTTGCAGCTGAAATACAGTTGGTACACTGGCTGTTCAGGGCAAATAAACACAAGTTGTCTGCCAGTGAAAGTTGTGCGCATGACATGATGTGGCGCAACACCTAAGCTGCCACTTTGCAACAATTCCAAACAAACTTACAACCACCTTACAAATTAAAAACCACACAGACCACCAGACAACCCAGAATGTCATTACAACTACCTAAAAATAACAAACTGACAACTTAGTCAGTATCTGAAAAAGTATCCAGCAACACTGAATTAGGAACCATGTCCACAAATTTCTTTCAGACCATCTAACAGGCAACAAGTTAGTCAGCAAGCAAATGAAAATAATCTTCAGATAATTTTTTTTATTTTTTAGCTTTTTGTTAATGCAGCACCATTTTAAATCTGAATACTTAGTAACCCTGTGGCTCTGAGGCAAAAAATCCAAACAAAGTAACACACATTATTATTATTGTTGATCTATTATATCTATCTATCTATCTATCTATCTATCTATCTATCTATCTATCTATCTATCTATCTATCTAAACAATGCCTGTCCAAAGTGACGTCAATAAGTGTCTTGTTTTGTCCGAAAAAAAATTCCAAAACTCAAGATATTCAAGTTTATCATCACTTCAGACATAGAAAAGCAGAAAATCATTGCAATTTAGAAACTGGAAGTGGGGAACGCTTTTCATTTTTACTTGAAAAATTACTCAAGATTAATTAATTAATAAATAGAGCAATTGCTTTTCTGTACATCAAGTTATTGTCAAGCTCTAATCCAGATTTTGGAAAAAGGCACCACCATGGCTGATAAAAATCTAGGACTGGAGCTCCTGGTTCACTGTGTTCAGATAAACTGCTTGAAGTGACTCAGGTCATGACTAAAGATAAAGTGACGCCCTTTTGAAGAGACAAGGGAGGAGACCAGTACCCACTACAGCGATCACATCTTCCAGCCAGACAAAAGCACACAGGACCCTTCTGGGAGGGAGAGCAAAAGATAGTTGTCAAAATTAAAAACTGAAATATTCTGAAATGCAAACACACACACACACAAACACAAAAGAATATGGTGGGGAAAAAAAGATCACACCCTCTCTGCTTTGTAACTTAATATGTCAAAGTAGTTCTACCTACTCGTTGAGGTGTGAAGAGACATGCGAAAGAACACTTCCTATTACACCAATGTAAAGCGTACCAAAGAACTGTTTCAAGTTGCCTTTTTGGAAAGCAATGCTCTTTGTCTGTTCTGAGTATACAACATTGCTTTGATGTTTTTCCTTATGAAAATGTATTTCTTGAAATAAAATTATTGTATATTGAAAAGGTACGCCAAAATATTTCCTCCTTGATTCCATTCCATAATTCCTGCTGTGTTGTTACAGCCTCTGATTAACTGTTGCTGCACCCATGCCTTTACGGACAAATGTTCTGCACTTAAACAATTATGACAGAGAAACTGGTGCCATTTGCACAAGAGAAATCAAAAGTGGATTCCTTTGAAATTCATACAGTATAGTGAGGAAATAAACTGCTATACAGTGCCAGTTTGACAAATGTCTAAAAAGAAACATTCACACCTGGAGGCTTTTTGGGTTGTAGCAACATCTGCAGCTGAAATGAAGTCACACCTCAGCATGAGGAGCTCTGTCCTCTGAGAATGTTGCTTTTTATTCAGCTTTCAGTGCTCTGCACAACTATAGAGTAGAGCACTACTGTCAGCTGTGACCATTTCTACAGAGCTATTACAAACTAGTCTGTGACTTTGCACTCTGTTGTACTTAATATATTTTATTGCTCTGAGTGCATTTAGAAAAATAACATAAGAAGCTACAATGAATAAGAGGCAGGAGATTGGAAAAGATAACATAAAATCTTAGCTCTCTGTATTAAATAAATGAAATGAATTTATTCTTATTGAAGCTGAATATACATATTTACCTAGTTGTATATCCTTTATACTAGGGCCCCTGACACGGTTATGGTCTGTAATTGTTCAGTTTATAACTGCAAAAGCAGAGAATCTTTTATTCACTGGCAAATTGTCGGCAACAATACAACCACTTCCTTGTTTCGTATAACACAAGATGACAAAAAGACAAGAAGAGCACAACCGTCTGTCAGTGGAAAATTAACAGGTCAGCCTCAAACAGCCAAGGAGTCGACATCACAGCATTGTGAATGTGGTGAGTAACAGTTTTAAATTTGAAGTAGAATAAAGTGAGCAGAAACACTGGTTTGTAGTTTTTTTCCCAAGATTTTATAGTTTATATAAATGGAGTTTAGAATATCTGAGAGGGTGTAAATTCTTATCCCTTTTCTGAAACTGTCTGATTATGAAAAACAAGCTACACATGCTGTTCATTTTGTTCAAGCTTAATTCTATAAATATGGATATTCTGACTTCAAACTAACAACTAACCTTGAGTGCAGTCATTTTACAGTATATAAAAATATATATAAAATGTAATATTTAAAAATTACTTTTGATTTATGTATCAACAGACAAACAATGATTTCACACTACATGATCCTCACTGCTCTGACAACAGCAACTCTGGGAAAAGGTACATTTCACTACTACCAGCATGTTATACAGACAGTAATTCCACTTGAAAAAAAAGATTCAATATTTTAAGTATGGCAGAAAAGTTTACAAAGACAATGGCTGAATTTATAAAAGGGAGTTAAAAACCAATTTAACATTTTTTTTTTTACTGTAAAAGTCTGACTTTCACAGGAAATTATAATGATATATAATATAAAAATGTCAAAGACAGCATAATAAAATGTTGAAATGGTGTTGTACACTATTCTCACAATTCATTTAATTTGCATTTACATTCATTACATTCATTGTTTTCTTGCTTGTTTTTTAGGGTCTGTTGAATGCAATTTCTTAATACCTACTGGAGGTCAGCAGTGTTTTGGAGCAGTGGGGCAGTCGTTACTTTTTCATCTGCCAAATACATCAGATACAGAAATGAAGTTGACAAAGGACGAGAAACATCTGATTTTAAACGTCAAAAATCATAAAGTGATTCTGAATGAGGATTACATGAATCAGTCTGAAGGCTTCACCAGTGGAACATTAAACCTTGGCAACGCAATGAAGAAACACTCTGGAGACTATATGTTGGAAGAATTTAGATCTGATGGAGCTTTACTGAGAAAAGTTACTGTTCATCTAGAACTACAAGGTAGGTTAAATAAATAAATAAAAATAATGATGTGTCCGACACCAATTTTGGATGAAGAACAACATTAACACAAACATAAATATATGCATAAAAGGAAATAAGGTGGTGCATTAAACATAGATATCCACCATTACGGTATATATCCACACTTAAAAATACCTTCAGCTTAAAGATGATCTGTCATTATCTGAAATTGCAGCTCTGTGTTAAAGTCTACAAATGGACCATGCAATGAAACTCTAATCAGGGTTAAAAACAGAATTTTTTTTCTTTAATTATTTCTTTTCTTATGAATATTTTTTGGATTATTTTATAAGCTACACGCAGTACACTTGATTTCAAGGTTTTAAATGTATATATAGAAAAAATATATAATAAATACAACTGTAAAATAAATTAAGATTTCTTAGATTTCTTTCTATTTACATTTTGTGATAAGTAATTCCAATTTGACAAAATATATATGGTCATTATTTTTTCAGAAGCATTTTGCCTTTGTTAGACACAGCGGAGAGAGACAGGCCCTGTGATATGTGTCTTAAGCCACTGAACTAACAGAATTAACTTGAAAGAAAAGTAGTGACTGGATCTATTTGTTTAAACATGCTGATGAAAAACATGTGATAGAGGCAAGCTGATGAACTGGCCATAGTATAATTATTTCATGGTCCATTATTCATTGTTTCATCATCATCATCATCATCAACCTCTGACCTATGGTGGCCTTTGAATAAATGTTTAATTCCATAGGTACATAGATACCCCTAAAACATGCAATGAGAATTATCCAGTAACTCAAATCCTTTAAGTTGTCTTTCTAATGAAAACATTTACAGTTAGTGTTTAACTCTGAATTGTTTTAGGCTCCAAAAGGTTTTTCTACACTTGAAGTACAAACTAGAATAGATGTTGTGGCTCCATGATTTACAGAGTTGGCAGTGGCACTTTGCTTTAAATCAAGTATTTGCTGTACATGTGAGTATGTGTTTGTCTTTCAGCTCCAGTGTCTGAGCCAGCTGTGTCTCAGATGTGTTTGTCACCAGAACACATGAAGGTCAGCTGCTCCTCTGAGGGAGATGGAGTAGAGTTCATTTTGACTTTGGACAGTCAGTTACTGATAGATACAAGAGACCACAGTCTGTCCCCAAGTAACTGGACAACAAACACACAGTGGCTGACTGGGAGTGCAGCTAAACAAGACACATCCAGTGTTTCAAACGTTACCCTCAGCTTACATGGTCAGCTGACAGGAAACCTGATGTGTAATGTTCGAAACAATGTCAGCAGAGATAAAACAGCTATTCATCTGAAAAGCTGCAAAGGTACAGTGTTTAAAGAACGGTTATTCTAATTTTGTAATTTTAACTTCAATGCCATTTCATATTTTAATGCTACGAAAAAATTATTCAATTAATTTTTCACTCTGATACTGAACATCTCTGAACTCTTGTGGGTGGGAGAAACGGTCTGGAATCTCAACTGACTCGGTGTGCTATTGTTTTTTTTTTTTTTAATAAATTTAAATCTACTGCTACTGTAGATGTTCCTATACATCAAACATCAGATGAATGAAAATAATTGATAGCAGTGTCATTATGATATGATCATTTTGTTTGAAATTTGTTTGTGTTTCCTAGATTTTCCTTCTTCCTTCCCTGTTGTGACTGTGGCTGTGATAGCTGGTGTTGTGACTCTCCTTCTCCTTGTGGCTTTGTGTCTTGGTATAAAAAAGATTTATAACAAGTCAAGACCCACAACTGCTAATGATGGTGAGTGAAACGATGAAGTAATCTTCTGTCTCAATAAGGACCATACTGATTTAAGTCAGGTTACCATAGTTTTACCATCTTACCATTTTACTCCTACATTTCAGATGGCTATTGCATTGTATCCATTTTACACCATGAAAATAATTCTTATAGAGTTGCTTAAGAAAGGTTAAAAAGAAGACATGGTGTCTTCTGTGACGTGTTATCACTTCAAGACTTATTTGTTGTCTGTTTTGTAGTTTTCCAAGGTAACCCTGAAGATGAAGTCATCTACACAGACGTCAGAGTGACAAGAAATATTAAGAAAACCCAACCCACCATCCACAACGCACCATAATTTCCTCCAAAGTCCTTATTAAGTGTTTTTTTTTTTTTTTAACCCTAACTTTTACCTTGCCTGAAACCACATATCTTAATCTTGAAATAAAAATATGCTCTGAGAACACTGTCCCTGTGGCTTGAAAAAAGAAAAACAAAAAGGTGGGGGCTGGAGGTGTTTGTCAAATTAATTTCTACCTATAGGCTCAAGTTTTGTTTTTTTTCTTGTGTGAATTATATCTGCAGTACATTGCAGCATAGACTATTCACAGTAACCAGAGTTTTATTTTCTTCTGATTTTTAAAATCAATTTGTAGGGATGTTTTATGCAATTGCTTTAAGAGATAAGCGATTTAAGATTTGATTTTCTTTAGTTGTTTGTCTTGTAATTGGGTGGCATTGTAGACAAGTTTTGAAACATTTTAAGTGTTTTGCCTTTTGTCTTTACTTGTATTTTTCAGTTAAAAACTTTATATCTATAATTTCTGTTTTCATACAAACCATCAAACAGGATGAAAAGAAGGTAATTTAAGATTTCCATTAAACTGATAAAAACAAGTACTCTTGCTTTATATTGAACTTTTTTTTTATCCATACTAAACTGTTACCCATGAGTGACATCTGGAGGAAACACACTGTTCTTGTAGTGAAAGAAGAGTACAAGCTGCAAACAATGTAGTGACCACGAGATGGAGCTAAAGTTCCTGTCCTGTAATTACATGAAGGTCATTAAACAATACAAATTCAATGTTTCTTTTTTACCATATTAGTATGGTTGTTTACTGTACATACTTGACTGAGGGATAGCACTGCTTCCACACTAACTGTAACATAAAGTCAGAGTCAGTCAACTCATAATTCATCCCCTTTTTTATAGGATGTGCTGCAAAAAGGAACTTGTTAAACTTGTGTTGCAACACAATACAACACCATGTGGCAATGAACTGCGTTAGCCAAACCTCGAGCAAGCGCACATTGGCTGTACATCTTTTAACAGCATAACTCTGCTCAACAGTTTAAAAGAAAATCTCGTCTCATAGCATTACAAACTCCTGTGCAGTGTTTTGGCATGTGATAAATTATACATACTCACACCGATGCAGCAACTGTTTGTTTTGTTTTTTTCCATACAGTCCTAACTTTTTTTCCCAGAGCTGAGCTGAGTCTCAAATCAAACATGGAAGTCTAATATGAAGTTTTATATAGAACATTACACGTAATTAGACCTAATGGCATACAAAAAGCCATACATCAAGAATCAAATCAACGCTAACATGAAAGCTTGATTTGTGAGTCTTCCCTGTATTGATTCAACCAACGGACATCAGTCTACAACAGCATGGCCACATCTCTCTTTCTCAATTTTCTCTGTCTGTTTTCTTTGATTTTCTATTCTTTCTCTGCAGTCAAACACAAACACCAGTCTATTCCTGTTAGTGAAGCAAAAACAGCAAAAGAAAAAGCTGGGTTTTTTGAACCAACATACAAATAAATGATGTGAGCGTGTTTATTGTCTGGCCTGCAAACCAACCATGCCTCATAGAAATGACATTTATATCCTACTAATCTGCAACATCAAATACTTTTGAAGGAAACACAATGCAGACTAGTTTTTCTAGTAACATAAGGAAGAGATGTTACAAGTTGCAAAATGTTGGTAATAAACCTATTGATGCAATGTTCACTGACATCATAGTTCATTTATTTTCCTACAATAGCCACTAATAGCAACAAAAGCATGATTTAACTTCTTAACCTTGTGTGTTAAGGCAGCCACAACACTTGGTTAAGGTCAGGTCATATTGTGATCTTGATTGAATATGCATAACAGTGACTGAGAAAACAAGGTGTCCAAACTCTGGTCGCCAAAGTCTGTGTGCTACATAAAATTGTGTAATGTGTAATTGAGAATGTGAATTGGTAGTATATTCATGTAATTTTGTAGACAGGATTGTGCAAACTCAAGTAGGAGTCAGAATCAAGTCAGCATTTTACATGCTGCATGGATCATGAGAGAATGTAACCAACGGTGCGTCACTCTGAAAGAAATGTGATGGTCAGAAAATTATGTGAGCCAAGCATTTTACAAAGACCTCTGGTCGCCATTTACCTTTACACATCTGCATCACGCATCACTTCGACATAATCAAAATATCAAAGATAACTGGATGAATTGACACACAAATTGTGCTTGCTGACATTCAATGGTAACTTCTGATAAATAGCAGAGCACATTAATTCAACTCTCACACAACAACTATACTTGTCCTACTGCATGCCCACTTCCTGTTTCCTCACCACCACAGGCTGCATGTGTGTGTTCACTTTGTGCCTGTCTGTGTGTCATGTGCCCATTTATTTCCTTATAGCCACCTGACATCCATCATTATCCATCTGTGTGTTGACCCATGGACTGAAATCTTCTGTAAAAGACGTCTCTGGACCATGCATACTACTAGGCATGCAAAAACAAAAATATCTTTTCCAGTTCTATCTTCATAATGAAATGTGGCAAAAATGTCATTAGGTGTACGCTCCTTTAAGTGGTTAAAATTTTAAAGTGATCTGATATGTCCACTGTATAATAAGGCGACTAGGTACAGTTATAGGCCCTCTTCACTAGGCCTGTAGAATTCACATTATAGCTAAACACTCAGAGTACATGATAGATATGATAGTTACATGATTATTCTCAATTAAAGAATACACCGAATGATGCCAGTTGTCCATGATATACAAATTTATGTCAGCAGTCTTTATCTAAAGACCGTCAGAGGCTCAGTAGATTTATATTTGCAAAATAATACAAGCAGCTTGTACTTCACTGGTGTTTGGGTGAGCACAATTTGCCACTTCCTCAATTCTACCCACACAGCAAGACAAGGCCAGAAATATACCACCCTGCCATCTTATTTTAAGAGCTGTGGGTGATAGTTTTAAATTTGAGTCTACCAATACTGACATTAGTGAAAGTATGAAAAAGTAGTGTTTCATTTATTGTTGCTTGATTTTTTTGTAATTTCTCAAGATCTAAGTGTCTTTTTAATTTAAACTAAAAACCAGGTGCAAGTGATGAGTTGGTTACTCTTCATCATTGTAGAAAGCTCTCAAAATTACATATCTGCCAAAATTTTGCCATTTAACTTGTCTTTGTGTTTCAAGTTGACTAAAACTTAAACCTAATGTGTTCTAAGCCTGTAATAGTATTAGGAATAGTATTTGGACAGTTTCATATTTTTTGTTCTTCAATTTGAAATAAAATAATGGATACTACATAAAAAGCACCATCTTTCAGCTTCAATATGAGTCGGCTTACATCACTATAGAAAGTGTGTGTGTGAGATATTGTCCTTTTAAGACATAGTGTCCAAACTGCAAGGGTTCGAACTAAGTTTAAACAAAGTTCTATGGATTGACGAAAGGCAAATCAACCTCTATTAAAATGATGCAAAGAGAAAAGTGTGGGGAAAAAAAAGAAACTGCTCATGACCCACAGCCACCACCTCATCTCTCAAACATGGTGGTGGTTCTGTTATGGCTCAGACATGTATGGCTGGCAATGGAACTGGCTCACCGGCATTTATTGATGATTTCACTTCCGAGGGAAGCAAAAGCCTGAATGCAGCGGTATACAGGAGCATTCTGTGCACTCAGATTCAGCCAAACGCATTAAAACTCGTTGCACAACATATCACCATTCAGGAGGACAATGATCCTAAAAACGAAGCCAAAGCAACCAAAGAGCGTTTAACAGTGAAGAGGAGGAACAATCTTGATTGACGGAGTCAATGACCTAATCTCAATCTGTTTAAGATGCATTCCATTTTCTGAAGACCAGACTAAAGGCAGAGAGACCACATAACATGCAAGAGCTGAAGGAGGCTGCAGTGAAGGCCTGGGAGACCATCACCTGGGAAGATACAAACTGCTGGCACTGTGTATGGGTCGAAGACTTCAGGTAGTCATTGACTGCAAAGTTGTTGCTACATAATACTAGTCCTATCGTCACCTTGTGAATTCCTGATATCTGATATGACTGGCTTGGGTGGGGAGGTGGGCTGTGTAGTTACAGTACAGACTACAACTGTTAACGCCAGAAGCGCATTTCTCTCTGGTCAACAAGCGATTACACTCCTCTGCTCCGTCTTAATCACACGTAGAGCTGATCTTTATAATTGTTGTTCCAGTGTGCTCCGGAAGTGAAGTGCTGGTGGTGGTGGTCGGGGGGGGGGGGTCCGTAACACGGTACATCCTCTCTATCCTCTCCCTACACACTGCTTCCTTATTCCTCAAAAGTGGGACTAGTGACCACAGCTTGACTTCCACTGCGTCTCTCTCGTGTACGTAATATTTTCTTGTAGAAGGCTGCGTCCAATTGAGACATCCTGTTTAAATCTAATCTTCTATGCCATAATCTCCTGCATAAATTGCAACTACATTCAAAAGGTAAGTCTGCCATCCACATAAGATCACAGAATGCATCATTCAGAAATATGAATCCAAACACAGCAGAGAATACCAAACCTCTCCACCAAATACAGCCAATGTTCGATGGTCTGAGATTGAGAAACTATGTTCTAGTCAATATCAGCAGTTGTAATCTGAATACAACATGAACCTCAGTAATTTTGCCATCAACATGAGTACAATACAAACTAATTAAAAAATAAGAAAATCAGTGTAGTGCTTCAGTAATACTTAACTGAGTGCAAACAGTTGCTTCCGCAGTTCTCTCCACAGAGCAAGAATAAAAGACCAGAAATACACCGCCCTGCTGTCAGTAGAACATTTACAAGCCACAAAGAGGACAACATATTTTAAAAAGTGGTGAGTGACAGTTTGTGTGTATAAATGCTATTGTTAAAAACTGTGTAAACTGTAATTAGGCATTACGCATATAATTCAGACATATTGTTCAAGGTAATGTTTATGTAATGTTTATTTATTTATTTTCTTCTTAATTTTGACTAAAAATCCACTTCATAATCCATACGAAAAGGCCACGTATGAAAGCAAACAACTTTTTAATATGGAAGGCATGTACTATATTTTAAACATAATTTGATTGTGTTACAACAGAAAATGAATTTCACCTACATGATCATGACAATTCTGGCAGCAGCAGCTCTGGCAAAAGGTAAACTTCAATGAAAACAAATTGTGCAGTTAATAGTACTGTTGTATAGACTAAAATCACTTCAATGATAATATATGTTGAGTTATTATTATTATTATTATTATAGTTAACAGCTATTATATCATTAGTTATGTTACTTATTTTGTCATTATTAGTAAATTAATGAAAAAATTGCTGAAACACAAGTAATTAATGCAAACTAATGCAGGGTGACTGTCTCATGTATATGCAGTAGTTGATATATATAGTAGAGATATTTTCTTAACATCTAGG